AACGTTTGTGTACTTGCAGAGCAAAAGTTTGTCTAAGAATCTTTAAAATCTGATTTTGAAAATAGAAGCTGAGCGTGGTGGTGCATGCAGTCTGGGAGGCTGACGCAGGAGGGCCCCAAATTTGAGCCCACAATTTTTTAAATTGATTTTTCCTTAAGACTCAAAACATAATAACTAAAACTAAGAGGGAGGCGGAATCCAAAGATGCATTTACTGTTGCACCTCCACAGATACCTTCTGTGTCATTCCTGTCTCTCTGGGGCAGGTGGGGACCGTCCCAGACACCACCTCGTTTCCTTCTGTGTGCTGCCACATCCCTTGCCCACCAAAAACTGGGCTCCTTCTTTGTGTCTCTGGCCAGTTTCACAGATTGGGATCTCTAGGGGAGGAGGAGCACACGTTGATGTATCTGCCCTGTTGCAGAGATGGCATTCAGCATCACAGAGAGCACTGCTTACAGGAATTCGGCTTTGCCAGGGAAATAGCAAAAGGTACCAGGTGCCTGTTGCTGCTTTTCCCCTAGGAGAGCCTCGTGGGTATAGCACCATGTGGATAGTAGGCAGCCGGAGGTTTTGTGGTTTTGCTTCCCAAGCTGGGTGTGGTGGTGCATGCCTGTTCTGCATGTTTTGTTTTTATCTTTGCTCCATATGTAAAGTGTGATTCACCTCACCGGAAATCCTTGGATAATGGATGAAGGGAAAAAATAATACAGTACCGTCTGAAATCTCAGGCACCGTGCCCCATCCTGACCAGAGCAGAGGAGGAATCCTGGAGAGGCGAGCCCTGTGAGGTTTCATTTACCATAATTTGGGCGAGGGTTAAGTGAGCTCATGTCGCTGTGGAGCCCTGCAGGCTTCAGAGATAAAGTGTGCAAGTTCCACTTGCGTGCCCAGCCCTGGCCGACCGAAGCCGATGCTCACGGCATTTCACGGTGGGTTCTGGGGCAGCTCCATGGAGCTCCCCTCAATGTGGTGCTTCCCTGCAGGGACAGGGTGTGTGGCATCGCGCGTGCTCAGTACTTTCTACCCCCTTGCAAATCGAAAGACGTCCCTTTCTCTGTGGAGGAACATAGGACATCCAGTCAAGGGGTTACTTCCAGAACCTCCTGACACCCCAGTCAGTATTCGTAGCCCTGCCTCTGACCCTGACAGCTTTGTGTTCCTGCTTCATGAAATGTCCGGCCTTCCGTTGACTCGGCTGTGTGTCACCTGCTGTGGTCAAATCTCAGGAAGGGGAGAAACTGGAAGGGAAGGACACTGCCGTGAGCAGAGTCCACACCAGCAGCCACAAAGAGGAGGCAGAGGAGACGCAGTCGTGACGGCATTAGTAATAGTCGTATTCTCTGTCTGCTTTCACCATTCGTCACTACCTGAAAAACACGAGAGAGAGAGAAAGCTGAGGCTTCTTTTTAGACACCAGCATTCCTAGTTAAGTGGCTGCTGACCTGTGATTGTAGCATCATTTACATCCACAGCCCCCAGACAGTTGTGGGCCCTGGGCGGTTTCACTGCGGGGCATTGCTTGGGGCCTCGATGAGGTAATACACAGGAAGCACTGTGGAGGTTTCCGGTGTAACGGGTGTAAGCGGGAGTGCTGCACGGGCTGCTCTGGTGAGGCTCCCTCAGTGACGTTAGAGGTCAGGACCGTCCCCGAGCTGCTCAAATAGGAACCGTGTAAGGCCATAAAGAGCCTTCTATGAGTAGAAAAGTTTGTTCTCATTTCTAATGTGTGCCAAAGCAAAGGGAAGAGAATCACCACTTTTATAATTTTTTAATGAGATATTCTTCATTAGAGTTCTGTCTTTAATAGTTCTTACTAACAAGGGGTATGACCGATATTCACTGAAAGTTGTAACACACTGAGGAAAGTGAGTAAGAAAGTGATATACGTGGTGGCGCACGCCTGTAACCTCAGCACTCAGGAGGCTGAGGCAGGAGGATCACCATGAGTTTGAGGCCAGCCTGAGCTACATTGAGAGACCCTGTCTCAAAAAACAAAACAAAACAAAAAGTGAGGTAGGAACCAGGAACTGTGAAAGAAGGTAACTACCTCCAACACCTCACCCTGCCGTGCACGGTACATATTCAGTAAACAGCTTTCAGTGGGACAACAGTGGGCAGTCAGCAATGGCTTTGGAAGCAGGGCATCAAGAAATGTTACTTAACTGAGATTCTCCTTAAGTCCACGTGTCCTGGGTGACTGTGGTGCACCAACTACATGGCAAAAGTGATTCCCACACTGTCTTTGTACCGGAGGCATGAACGATCCGGCTGGGAAGTTATGCACACAGGTCATTCCTTTAGTACATCCTGGTAGATGCAGTGATACATCCTTTCATTCATTCAGTCAACAAACAGCTGTAGTGTTTTCACGGCACAGTGGAGGCAGAGGAAGAAGACACAGTTGCTGCTCTCTAGGAACTAGTCTTGTGTTAGGGCAGGCAGGAAACAGTAGTGATGTAAGAAACAGAAAGGGTGATGCACGTCAAGATTAATGTGGTCAGAGATGTGGGCACGGAAGACTGGATGGGAGAATTGACATTCAGAGACACTCGACACGCGGCATTCCCTTTGGTTGCGGGAAACACAAACCCTAAGCGACTGAGAGCGTCCTCTGATAGTTGTACAGGAGCGGCCCTTCCGTACAGCAGACTCCACGCATGTCATGGTAGAAGGGCCCGAACAGCGCCACTGGCCCCAAGGTCTCCATCCTTCATTCCTTGGTCTGCTGAGTTCTGTCCTGGGTAGATTCTTGTCACACCTGGCTGAGGTGGGAGCCGGCTCATTCCTACCGTTCTTGATTCATTGGCTGTGGCCAGGCGATGGTATATCCCAGGGGCTCAAGGCTGAGCTGTGAATCGTGTGACCCAGGCCTGGCCAGCAGCCTGAGATGCTGGAATCCAAGGGCTGAATCCCTATCCATGGCGGCTCTGTTCGTCCACCTGTTAAGTGGGCTTGGTGATGGGACCCAGTTCAGGGAGATTTTGAGGAGAGCAGCAGAAGAAGCAGGGGCCCAGAAGTGGGTGAGGGCCTGGGATGGGAACGGGGAGGCGAGGGGGAGGCGAGCTGGCCAGAGGACGGACTGTGCAGTCTGCGTTTGCATGCACGCTGGCAGGGTAGGACTGGTGCCACCTCGTGGGGACACTGCCCTGACGGGGCGTGCACAGCACTCAGCCTGCCCCCGTCCTCCCCACCTGCATTTCTCCCACTGTTTCGGCCGCTGACTGACTCCCTTCTCTTTTTTTTGAGACAGGGTCTCACTCTGTAGTTCAGACTGCTCTGGAAATCACTGTGTAGCCCAGGCTGGTCTCGAACTTGCAGCGATCCCCCTGCCTCAGCCTCCCGAGTGCTGGGATCACAGGCGTGCGCCACCACGCCCAGCTCTGACTCCCTTCTGATGGACAGATTCCCTGTGCAGCTGTGTTGGTAGCTTTGGTCTGCTTAGAGCCACTCCTGCTGGCCTGGGAATCCTATTGCTGTTCTGGGTGACTTATGGTGTCTCGGCTCTGACCTATTTTGTACTATTTGTATCATTTAACTTACAGAGGACAGTCTTAATTTCCTCTATATTCATGTTATCAGGTGTTGGCCTCAGTCTCCCCCTGACTGGAATCATCTCTTCAGCTAATTCTGTATGGGCAGGGCATGAAATTCAAAGTGGGTCATATAATATGGATAAAATATAATAATCTTTGATGATATAGGATAGCATCCAACTAGGCATGTTAAGAGGTCAATTAGAAAATTGCTATTTTGTAACTTGATTTACTAGTTAGTAGATTTCTGTAGTACTGGTTTTAAGAATAATTTTAAAGGGGTTAATTGTCCATAGATAAATAATTCCTTGTTTCCTTCCTCATATTTGTGAAGAGGCTTGTATATCTGTGTGTGTATTACACACATAGACATATGCAACCAAGTGTTTCTTTTTCATCCCTAGAAGTGCCATGTACTAAAAGAATTCTTCCCTAAAGAAATATTCACTCCAGGTACAAAGTGTATCAGGGAAGTAGCTTGTGTGAGAAACTTACCAGCGCCCTTGGACTTATTTCGTTTCGCCTTTGAGTTTATTCTGGAAATTGCAGCATTTAGCACTTTGCAGTTTAATTTAAAAGGATTACCCATTTTCTTAAACGCTTAAGCAGGGAAGCAAGTTGCAGTTATTGATTTTTCTCTGCATGCATTCGGTGGAAGCTGGATTTGCTGTTTCCCCGGGGAGCATGCCTCCTGAACTGCACGCCTGCTAGTGACAGCTCGGACCTCTGATACATAACCGAAGACCTTGCCTAATATCCTTGCAACTGCTCGGGGAATTTTTATTAAGTAAAAGCATCATTAGAGTAGACAGGATGATGAAGTTTAATGAGCATCTTTTGTGCACGATGCTGTTAGTTTTGCTCTGCCAGAACCCTCATTTCTCCTCTCTTGTGGGGCAGTGAGCAAGTCTGGAATGTATAACATGTTTTTAAACTGCCTTATAGTTTATATTTTTACACCACTTGATAGTGTGTTCAGCCAGCTATACATTCCTTTTGGCTATTTTTATAGATGCCAGTTGCACGTGTATGTTTACACTCTCTTTGCACACTGTGCATTGAGAACCAAGAACAGTAATGGAAAAGACTGACAGACCCATACCATCACTAGTGAATTGCGTGGACCTGTCTCTTGGAGCTCTGATCTCAACAAGATCGTTGCCATTTGGGTTAATGAGATTCCTCATAGGACCAGGATGACTAATTTTTATTTCCTTTAAGACTCAGCAATTTATGTGCTAAGATTCTGTCATCAGCCCCTCATTGCTGCTAGTTAGGATAAAGATACTGCAAATACTTATTAATAATTTGGCTTCACACTTTGTCCACAGATTTATTTGCAGAGATTTTAAATTTAGCATCCTACCATAAGATTACAAATTATAAGCAGAATTATTTCTCTCCATTATTTCTGCTAGCCATCTACTTAGATTTTAAAATTGGTTCTTTTCTTGGTCTGTATAAGGACTTTCCATGGAAACTCCCAAAACAACAGTAGGGAGGCATATGACACGAACAAATGACTTCAGAGCAGCATATTGTACCTCTCATATACCTGGCATTCTGAAACACAATATTTACATCGCACACAATGTGTTCCTAGCAGTGCCTTGAATGTACGGAATACAAAGGAAGTGAAGCTTGTACTCTCCACTCTCAAGAAAAGGGTGGTCTTCTTAAGAGAGCCACACCGAGACAGCCAAAGAAGATGCCTGACGAGATAACTTAGTCGAGTTTGAACTTTGGAGAAGTTGCCTGGGTTTGGCCCAGGCCTGAAGCTGCAAAGCACCACTTTCCTCATTTGAAAAGAAAGATATTACCAGGACCGACCTCGCTGGCTGGTTGTGGCAGTGAATGGTGACTGGGTGGTAGTCGCAATGTCGACGCCGTGCTATCGCCAAGGTACTCTGCTCATGTTTTGGAATAACAAGCCAAGGTGAAGCATCGCTTTGTGTACCACCGGGGACTTGGTGGGAGAGCCTGACAAAGCAGAATAGTGATGGCGATGGAAGAAACAATGAAGCTCTCAAGTGCTCAAACTATGAATGGGATCTGAGTTGTAGAAAACACCTAGCCAGACCTTCTAGACGATAATAACACAGATCAGCCAAGCTAAAAAGTAAAAGCAACAACAACGAAACAAAAGCAGACCTGAAGGCTGGCTGGCTAACTGGCTGGAAATGTCAGTCCCAGGTTTCTTATTGAGTCAGCACTTTTTTATTTCTCCCGAAGCACCCTAAAAAGCCCACACCAGTCTGATTGCCAGTGAGGTCAGAATTGTGCAGATGTTCCCGTCTTCCAGCTCAGATAGCAGAGCTTCTGGAAAGACATAAGAACTGAAATTACCTCCACGTAGCAGAATTCCCACTAGATCCTCCTTTCCTACTCTCCACACTGCCCACCTCAAGACCAGCCTTGCTTCCCTGGTGCTTTTGGTGTACAGGAGAGATGACATGGGAAGCTGGCCCAGGTCCCGTGTGACATGGCTGCTCTGTGCAGGGGACCAGGCGGGGCAGTCAGTCCAGGTGACACTGGATCCTTTTCCCTGTGCACACGCCAAAGAGAGACCGTTCTATTAGACAGGTACAGGACACATTGGAGGAGACAAAGTACCAGCAGCAAGGAGACCAACCATGGAACCATTGCAGTAAGCCGATGGCCATGGCAGCAGTAGGAGGTAAAGAAGAATGAGGATGATGGAAATCATAATAAACTGAGTACCATAAAGTGGCTAAGTGACCCACTAAGTTCGGAATCTTTTGAAAAACTGATGAAAGCCACAGCCCTTTAAGCTGCAATATACAGGCCGAGTTTTGCCTAGAGTTTCAGGTAGTTCCATGGTCCCAGCCTAAGAATTGCTAGTGTAGAGGGACCGTTTGTCAGATTTGACTAATAAGCAAGCAGAAAAAGAGGCAGATGTCAACATGATGCCAACATTTGATCCTGATGGTTTGGAGACAGGGAGGATGCTGGGAGGGGTGTCTCACCTGCTTTGCTGGGTTTTGTCGCTGAGTCTCCAAGTGGATGGAAGAGGATCTTGACTTAGAGAACTGCTGCTCGGAGATCACTGCTGTAGCTGTAAAATCGGGTGATCTTTCTGGGGAAGAGGATACAGAGAGAAAAGCAGGGACCCAAGATCTGAAGAGGTCTCCGGAGAGATAGGAAGAGGGAGCACAGGGCTCAGTAGCCCAAAGAGGAAATTGTCTAGGAGAAAGGTGGCCCATAGTGGTCTTCATTGGTACAGCAGAAAAACGAAGTGACGGGGCCAGGGATTTAGCTCAATGGTGCTGCCACCTGCCTCGCAAGTACAAGTCCCAAATTTAATCCCCAGTACCAAAAAAAGAAAAAGGAGGTGATAGTGCCAGAGACAGCATCCAGCAGAAACAATAAAACTCATGGATTTTTCCAAAATGGAAGGTGCCCATAGTAAATAAAACTCACATATCAATAATTGAAAACCGTGCATATCACAATGCTTAATAAATATATTGTTTATTAAGACGACTGAGATTATGGTGGACTGGGAGTTTCTTCTGCTGTGCAATCTTTGATGTAACGGGCAGTGGTGGTCAGGTTCATGGGGCTTCAGGGGGCCCATCTGTGGCCTTCTTTAGTAACACACCTCTGACGTGACCCTCCTGGTGACCCAGGCGATCCGGAATCGTTTTGTAATGGTTCCTCCAGTGATGCTCCCTAGCAGGGGTCCTTCATTCAGCGCTCAGGCAGGGCCCAGCCCAACGTTTGCCCTTGGCCATCACGGCCTGGAACGAGGGCCTTTGTGAGCCTGAGCAGGGCCAGACTCCTCATCCCCCGCAGCAGAGAGCACCCACAGGCACCCCACCTTTGAAATCGTCTTTGGCGACAGCAGCCTGTTCATCAGACTGGAGAGTGTATGGCATCCTTTCCCATCACTTTAAAGTGCTCTTTGTTGGTTTTTCCCATGCTTTAATCATCTCCCAATCATCCTTTAGAAAGCTCAGATTTCAGGAGAGAAAAAGGTTTTCTAGGGCTCTGTGCACAAGTCCCCTTTACTTTTTGGGCTGAGCGTTTCTCCCAAGGTCACTTTGTCAGCTCTAAGGGGACATAGCCAGATGGTGGTGCCCCTTCTTCCAGGGGTCCTGGCCCAAAGGCGTGTGGTCGCAGTGCAGGTTCCACACAACAACACGTGTGAAGTGAAAGCACCTGGCCGGTGGCTTGTGTCATGGAGCTTTCTGAGAGGCCAAAGACAGCCACTGCCATTCCAGAACAACTGTGTCACGTGTGCCCACGTGGACACGACCATTTCCACGTCTAATTTATTCTCCCCCATGCCCGCCAGAGAAGTGCCTGTGTCTGCCTTCGTTTAGCAGATGAGGACTTCAGACTGGCAAGTTGGTGGCATTCCCAAGGCCAGCTGTCTTCAGTTCTGAGCAGGGTGAGGAATAAAGAGATGGGAGAATCATATCACAGAGAAGTATGTGCACCCATGTTTATAGCGGCACAGTTTGTAATAGCTAAATCTTGGAAACAACCTCTTTGCCCATCCGTTGGAAACTGGATAAAGAAGTTGTGGTTTTTCTATAAAATGGAATATTACTCAGCCATAAAGAGCGAGAGAATAGATTCATTCATAGGAAAATGGATACATATTGAAGATATACTCCTAAGTGAAATAAATAAGTCCCACATGTGTAAATACCGAATAGTTTCCCTGGTGTGAATATTCTGCAACAATGCATAAGATTCTAATAAGATTACTGACAT